TACATTACCTCAAATTTTATTTTCACTTGTATCATCCATCTTATAACTCAGTTACAGAAAGGTTTGACTTAATATGAATAATTTCTTTCTACTCTGGCGCCACCAACTGATCGAAATTACCGTTTGTTTCCAGTGATTCAGCGATAAGTCTGCTAAAAATCGGGTTTAGATACTCGTGGTAGGCCCATCACAGATAGTCAATTGCGTAGGTTTGTGCTTAACAACAAATAAGAAAAAATAAAGGAAATACTGGCAGTAATTAGCGCCATCTGTTGAAAGGAGGGTAATCTGACCCTTTGCTATTTTTCAGCATTACCGCATTCCCGTGGCTTCCGATAACGCGATAACCAGGAAACACCACTTCAGGAAGAAATCACGAACCTCCACTGGCCATTGGCCATGGTCTCTTTACTCCAGAGTGATGTGTAGTGAGAAGAAAGCTTCTCCCAAGACAGGCAACAACGTATCTAACAAAATAAAGAATCATGTGTGGAGAAGGTTTGAATGGAAATTCCATTGAAGTTAACCCGCTAGAAACCGGATTTCGATACCCGTGGTGGGCAGAGCACAGATAACCCACTGTGTAGCTTTGTGCTTAACTACAAGTAAACCAAGTAAAAATCTAAACTCATTATGTATTATAATTGAGCCCCCCAGTGGCATAGTGGTATGTCTGCGGACTTATACCGCTAGAAACCGGGTTTTGATACCCGTGGTGGGCAGAACACAGATAACCCATTATGTAGCTTTGTGCTTAACTACAAGTAAACCAAGTAAAAATCTAAACTCATTATGAATTATAATTAAGCCCCCCAGTGGCCCAGTGGTATGTCTGCAGACTTATACCGCTAGAAACCGGGTTTTGGATACCCGTGGTGGGCAGAGCACATATAGCCCACTGTGTAGTTTTGAGCTTAACTACAAGTAAACCAAGTAAAAACTAAATTCATTATTTATTATAAATGAAAATACCTTACTATATAAAACACAACCTTAAAAAATCCCTCGCACAGTTCATGGGATGTATGACACAAT